GGGACCCCCAAAGTGTGGCTGGTGTCCGAAATAGGGCAGTCTTACTGGGGATCCTGCTCTTTAACTTGTGGGGTGTGTGCTAACTCTGGGTGGTTAGTGAGACAATAGAATTGCAGTACACCCAGTTGTAATTGAAACACTGTAACTATTAATATATACTCACGGTTTTTAGTGAATAAATTTCAGTAATTGAAGTTTATTGAGTGTTAGCTAAATACAGCATGGCTCTTTAAATTTGATGTAATTAGGAGGAAAGATACTGCGAATTTCTTAAAAATTTAAAACTTACTGAATCTTGTTGATGTAGTCTTACTAAAATGTTAATTAAAATAAACTTTTAAGATTACCAGGATTTAATTTTCTTTATTGCTGAATATTCCTCAGTAGGGTCAATGGATTTGCAGGGATCCCTCTAGGTTCTTTTGCTTGATTCCTTTCACGACCATTAGCCCAGACCTGCAAGTTGACTCCTTGGATTTGGAGGTTGTGTGTTTAGAAAGGCTAACAGGCTCATAGTGGGTTAGAACCTGTGGTCTTGGTAAGTAGCTTAGTGTAGTGGGTATATGGCTTCTTCTGTGAAAGGTAGAGAACATCCATAAAACATGGGTAAATACTGTCCTATATTTGAAGAACTATACTTATTATGTATTTGAACATGTAACAAGCAATGTAGAGTGTTACCAGTACAGCAGTCCCCAACCTTTTTGGCACCGGGGACTGGTTTCATGGAAGACAATTTTTCCACTGATGGGTGGTGAGTGGGGGCAGGGAGGGGGAGGATGTGGAGCTCAGGCAGTGATGCACATGCGACCAGGTTCCTGACAGGCGGAGAACTGGTACTGGGCTGTGGCCTGGGGATTGGGGACTGCAGCAGTAGAAGGCACGATATAGTCAGAAGGCCAAAACTAACATAAATAAAAACTTGGGCTAATATAGAAACACATAAATAGCTAACTGCTGTAATAACAACCCCAAAATTCAATGGCTTGAGATAATAAAAGTGTATTTTTCATTCACATTTAGTCCAATGTAGGCCAAGGGGGAAGGACTCTACTTTGCAGAGGCGTTTAATGACCAACTTTCTTTCATTTTGTGACATTCCATCACGTAAGGCCTCATTTGCATTTTGTTAATAAATAGCAGAGCAAAGATTGTGTGCCTCATCCTGGAAGTGACACACATCGCTTCTGCTCATGTTTCATTGGCAGGAACTAGTCATTTGATCCCTACCCAGAAGCAAACTTAATTTAAAATATCTAGACTTCTGTGGTTATTTGTCAGGGACGGTAGGCTAGGGAAATATTGTGAGACTTGGCCTTGTTTTGTGGAGAAAGACCTTGGTCAGAACAGGCTGTGATGGAAGTGGATAGTGAGGGAGGGAACTAACTTGCTGGCGTCCTTGAAGTGGGAAGGTTTGGGGAAGGGAGTGAGTGAAAAAATACAACAGCGCTGCTCAGGCTGAAAAGTAGCTCCAAGGTTCACAAATCTCTCTTTACTCGCAACCCCACGGACAGGCTATATAGAAACCTGTATCAGTGGTGTGGAGCTGGGGGTGGGGTCCCTACTTCCAGTGCCAATTGAGAGGAAGCATGAAGCTACCAAAAGGCCAGATCTCTGTTCACATAGTGAGAAGAGATGTATTCTTGACATTCTACCATCATCTGCAAACATAGTAGCAGACCCCTTATACTATGACATGTTTCAGATATTTTATGAGGGTTGAAAACTTTCTGGAGTTCAGTCTTTCCAGAACTGCCCATGTACATTCTAGTACGTTAAGTAAAAAACTTAGCCACATTTCTTTTTTACTTATACATTATCTTTTTAAATATATGTGCTATAAAGTAGACTATGAAATCCAAATTTTATCTAATGGCGATTCACATTATAGCTTTGCATAAAGCAGATGTACTTATTTTGCTGGAAATTTTCTGAATTATTTAAACTATAGTTAATTGGGCTTTTAATCTGGAGGCACAGATAAAATAATTGAACATCTAAATCTATTAAAATTATTTTTGCTTATGTACAATTCTCTGTACAACTGGTTAAAGTAAATTGACCTGGAAAGGCTTTTGTGTTTGTTTTCGTGTCTTGGTTTTCTCTAATAAAACCAGAAACTAGGGCTATATGAAGTAATTGGAACTATTGGTAAATATTCCTGGTGATAACTTGAACATAGCCCAGAGTTTCCATATTAATCAGGGCAGAATATAAGCTTAAGATAGAAACTGGGCAGAATTGTTAGAACAGTTAATGGATTAGTTTCCCTACTTTGGGTCTCAATTTTGCAAAAGTGATTTTCAGTGTCCATTGTAAAGTTCACACTTGCTTTTTTTTTTTTTTTTTTTTTTTTTTGAGACAGAGTCTCACTGTGTTGCCCGGGCTAGAGTGCCGTGGCGTCATCCTCGCTCACAGCAACCTCAAACTCCTGGGCTCAAGTGATCCTCCTGCCTCAGCCTCCCGAGTAGCTGGGACTACAGGCATGCACCACCATGCCCGGCTAATTTTTTCTATATATTTTTAGTTGTCCAATTAATTTCTTTCTATTTTTAGTAGAGATGGGGTCTCGCTTTTGCTCAGGCTGATTTCGAACTCCTGAGCTCAAACAATCCGCCCGCCTCGGCCTCCCAGAGAGCTAGGATTACAGGCGTGAGCCACCGCGCCCGGCCCATACTTGCTTTTCCAAAGAGGTAGATTTTTGTGTCGTGGTGTACCACTACTCTCCTCTGCTACTACTCTCCTCTAATGGTAGTTGTCATTCCTGTAAACTAGAAAGAGGAAAAATACTTGTAGTATATGTTGAATGAGTGAGGTCTACTTCTCGAATTCTTTCTTGCTGGTCCCAATTATACAATTGTTTGTCTCCCAGAAGTGTGCAGTATTCTGTATGTCTCTGGAGGAGTGTACTGTGTGTTCACTGGAACACCCTCAGCCAGGGACCTTGCATATTGGATGTTTGTCTGTTTGGAGACCTCTTTTAGGCCATCTATCCATGAGAGTGGATGTCAGTTCACAGCCCTGGCTGTCCCTAGAGACCCAAATAACTACTTTGATGATTTCAGGGTACTCTTAGACATTTGTGATTTGTTTATTCCTTCAGTTCAGGAATTCTATAAGCAATTTTCCCAACCTTTTGTTTTTGTTGTTTTTGTGGGGTGAGGGCATGAAAAGTTTCTGCAAACCTTGCTTGGGATATAGAACTCTCACAGTACCTATATGTAGATAGCCCCCCAGAATGGAAGCTTAGCCATTGTTATTATCCTGGGATTGTTCAGACCTGGGGGTCTGCATAGGAGGTTTTCTGGCCACTGGCACCTGACATTATCATTATTTGGCTTTTTAAAGGAAAAACTCTTGCCATCTCTTTAAAGATATCTGAAAGTTATAGACATCTGGGTAACCAGTAAGAGACGTCCAGTAGTTGTGGGGTTTTTTTTAATTTTTTAATTTTTTTTTTTTTTTTTTAGAGACAGGGTCTCACTCTGTTGCCCAGGCTGGAGTACAGTGGTGCAATCATAGCTCCCTGTTGCCTTAAACTCCTGACATCCAGAAGTTTTAACACCCTTCAAGGCTGCTCAGTTACAGAGCTCTGTTGTGAATTTATTATCAGCCTGTGTCCTTACAGTTGTAAACTTTCCTCCAAGCATTGACACTTCATAGTTAATAGTGGTGAAGATAATTGATTTAATGGGATCTCAGTACAGAGCAAATTCCAGCTGGTATTTCCATAGAGAAACATGATTTACAAAAGGTAGATTACTTATAAGATTGAATATATGTGTGTGTATTTACCTTACATATTGGAACATAGTTTTTAAAATATACTTGTTTTCCTAGAGCAATTCTAGATTTACAGAAAAATTGAGATTAATAGAGTTCCCATTGTACCCCCTTTCTCCCAACACACACGGTTTCCCCTATCATTAATATCTTATAATAGTCTGGTACATTTGTTATTATACAATTAATGAATCAATATTGGTACATTATTGTTACCTAAAGTCTATATTCAGATTTGCTTGGTCTCAATGCCCGTTTTCTGTTGAGGGATCCTATGTATGTCAGTTGTCGTGTCTCCGTAGGCTCTTCTTGGCTATGACAGTTTCTCAGACTTTTTTTGTTTCCGATGTCCTTGACAGTTGTGACAAGTACTTACTAGGTATATGATGGGTTGCTCCTTAGAATTTGATGTTTTTCTCCTGATGATTCCATGATAAGACTATGTTTAACTTTGTAAGAAATTACCAAAACTGTCTTCCAAAATAGATGTACTATTTTGCATTCCCATCAGCAGTGAATGAGAGTTCCTGTCACTTCACATCCTTATCAGCATTTGGTATAGTCAGTTTTTTGTACTTCAGCCATTCTAATGGGTACACAGTGGTTGGGATGTAATTTTTAAAGTTGATCATTTAGTCTTACTGTCATACTTTACTGATTGAGCATTCCTAATCCAAAAATCTGAAATCCAAAATGCTACAAAATCCAAAACTTTTTGAGCACTGACATTATGGCCAGTGTTTCAGATTTCAGATTTTCAGATTTCAGATTATACCTGTAAGTATAATGCAAATATTTCAAAATCTGGAAAAATTTGAAATCCAAAACACTTCTGGTCCCAAACATTTTGGATAAGGGATACTCAACCTGTGTTATATCTGTCTATAGAAATAATAGCTTTCTCATGATACTTCTTTTCAAACTAGCATTAAGATAAGAATATGTGTGCTTTTCCCCATGCAAATAACTGTCATAGATATTTGATATCATTTCACTTATTTCGTTAAAATTACCTATTCTTTTTGCTTTCTTATTACTAATAGCTTATAAGCTACATGGGCATTAAGCTACACTCTGTTGGTGTTAATGTCTTCTGTTTAATTGCTTGTGTTTAATTTTTTATTCTCATTTTCCATTCTTCAAGGTCATATTTTGCTTTTTTGTTTGTTTTTGTTTCTTTGTTCATAAAGCTTTTTTGTTTCTGTTACATTATGTAGTTTTGTACCAATGGCTAGAAGCAGATCGTCATGGCAAGAGCCAAGATGCTGCAAATACGACTTCAGGTAAAAATAAAAATTTAAAAAAAGGATGGGGTGTTAGAAATCATTATTTTAATTCACCCCAAGCCCATTATAAATGTATCTTTATTCAGCTTGGTTTACACAAACTTAGCGGTATTATTTTGTATTTCTGTTCTCTCGTCTGTATGTTAATTTTCATAAAGACCTAATTTGCTTCAAGCCTTGAAAAAATGTATTCACTAGTCTTTAAGCTCTCTTGGCAGATATTTTTTACTTTCTTAGGAGGAAATTGCAGCTTAAATTTAGTAGGAGGTTAGTTAGCAATACTACTTGGAGTTAAATTGATATGTAGTTGTAGCAGGGATATTCTAAATAATTGGCTCTTCTTCTTTTTCCTTCAAAATAATATTTGCCAAGACAGCTGTATATGTAGAAATGATCTTTCTTCTTCTTTTTTTTTTTTTTTGGCAGTCTGATAAGAGGTCATGATGGTGATGGTGGTGATGGTGGTGGTGATAGTGGTGGTGGTGGTGGTCGTGGTAGTTTTTTCTTTTATTAGGTTTGTGTTACTGTTCTGTAGGCTTTTTTTGATTTTGTAAAATTCTTTCTCTGTGGAGGTGGTTTCCTTCTCTCTCTTGTTGATTCCTTATGCCTCAAGAGAGTATGATATGCCTTAGTTAACAGAACGATTATACTGAGAATGGTACTGTCATGACTTTTCTGATTTATCTCCTGTCCCATTAATAACTTGGTATATGAATAAAGATAATGTTACTATTTTAACCATAAGCAGACAGCAATTCATGAAAAGGTAAGTGTTGCAAAGAGTTGTATCATGGGTTATATGCTGTTTCTTCTGCTCCTGCAGTAGTTCATATTTTATTTACATTTATAAATGATAAAAGCAAACATTTCTGGTATTTGAGGGTGGATGAGAGAGGAAGTTTCTTGATGGCTGTATAGTATCTGAGGATACCCTGTTGCTATGTCAGTAGAACATTGAACAATGTAGACTTTTAGAACCAGGAGGGAATTTTTATTTTGTTTTGTTTTTCCTTGGACCTCAAGTGAAGTGAAATACAACCTTTTTTTAAAAAAAGAGAAGCAAATAATCTAAAAATTCTTAATGTTTACATGTAAATCTAGTATCAGCTTAAAGACACCATTTATCCTTCTTGAAGTCAACAGTTCTGAACCTTGAGTCTGTTCTTCAGCCACATTGGCTGTTTCTCTTCTAGATGTGAAAGCTCTCAACTGTTAGTAGATGCAAGTGTGTGGGGTAGAAAGATAGAGATGGAGTATTTGCCTAAATAAGTCAGAGGAATCTAAAGGAAAGTGATCATCAGCCAAGGACTTCAATTAGAAACAATAGCTTAGTTGCCTCAGCAAATATGTTTAAATTATGTGTTCTTATTCAGAAAAGTTCTGCATATTTTATATTGCAATCTCTAGCAAGATTTTCAAGTGTGACTTTTCCCTCCTTCTGTGATGTTAACTTTTGCACCCAGAGGTGTTTTAGTATCTATCTTTTCATATTTTTACCCAAAATGGAAACTGAGTCTAATTAGATTTCAAAATGTGACTCATAAATCAGATTGCTTTGTGATATTTTTAATTGTACAAATACTGGTAAGTGGCATTTATCTTTTGCTATAACAGCTAGTGTTTTACACTTAATTAGAACTTTAAAAGTAGAAAAACACAGGAGACAATGAAATTGCTTCAAGATCTTCTAATTCCTTGATCCCAACTTTTTGACATTGGGAATTTAAGATCTGTCTACTTTAAAATATGTTATGAAACTAAAGCATTTGGAGATAACAGGTCTTACGGGAATGAATTTGGTCAAGGAAATAATGAACTAATCTGACAGCTATTGTCGAATTTTCTTATGTATTAATATAATAAAGTATAGCCTACTTTTATCTTTCCAGAATTTTGACAGGTAACAAATTTGGCTTATAATAGCTCATTTGTTTTAAAAGGTTCGTGTGTTTAATGTGTTCTGCCTACTAAACTAGACAGCTCAGCAGTGATGTTTCTAATTCTTTAATTCTGTTACTTAACAACCTGGATATGCAATCACACTTATCAGAGATTTTTGTGGAAACTCAAGCAAAATTGCCTCCTTTGAGCACTGCAACATTAAGTCTGTGTATAACATTTCAGAATCATAAAAAGTATGATTAACTTAATTCAGGATGTTTCTTTGGTTAGTTAAATGTTTTCATGTAATTTTTTATTACCACATATTTAAATGAGAACAATAATTAGGTTACAGTAACAATTATATTATCATATCTTGTTTTTAAATATCAATTGTCTAGCCAGGATTTTAAAATTTAGATTCTAAAGTTTTAAGTGCAGATCTCTGATTAAGTTTTTTAGTTGTCCATTGGGAATTTTACAACTCAGACTGTTAGAGGTAGAAATTGAATCAGATTTCTTTATTTTTTTTTTATTTTTTATTTTTCCCTGGTCCATTTCTTTTTCTATTTTTTTAATTTTAATTTTTTTTCAGATGTCTATATTATCAGTCAATATATCTATAAAATAAATATAAAACTATGACATGCTTTTGAAAAAGTTCTAGATATTAACTAAGTTTTAATTATTTGTTGTAGGTGAAAATTTTGACCAGAGTCCTTTGAGAAGAACATTCAAATCCAAAGTTCTTGCCCATTATCCTCAGAATATAGAATGGAACCCTTTTGATCAAGATGCAGTGAATATGGTATGTGTTTTTCTTTTCCTCTTCATTCTCTCTTTAGCCTTTTATTTTATTAAAAAGAAGATAGTGACTCTATTTTGAATCTCAATATTACTTCATTTATCCTTTAAGCAATTTTATAAGAAATGTTAATATAATATTGTCTTCATTTTACAGATACAGAAACTGAAGTTCACAGAAATTAAGTTACTTACCCAGGGTTCCCACAGCTAATAAGTGTAGACAGTAGAACCTCAAAGCCCGTTTTAGTTTCTTACCATGAAGCTGAGTTGGGGGTTTGTGTCAATACACAGAAGCTTTGATAAACAGTGATTACTTTGTTTGCCTGAGAGGAGCCTGATGGAAAGCCTGTGACAGTTTTCATATTTCAAGGGATCTTGTATGATGATAGGCTTGTAATTTGTCGTTTTCACAAACAGTATAAAGATGGAAAGAAACTTAAATATGTCATTTAAACATGAGTAGGAATTTGTTTATAAGGAATCTGAATTAATGTAATGAGTTACCAGTGGTGATTACAAGTCTTCCTTACAGATTCTTAGAAATTAAGTAGGTCATAGTTTTCAGATTATTTAGGAAGGGTCCTTACAAGCTTGGATAGTATTTTAGATCTCCATCAACTCTGTGATTGCATAATTCACAAAGGGAACAAATCAGAGATCAGGCATGATAGATACAGAAATGATTAAAGGTGGACTGTGACACTGTGATAGGTGTAGTTCTTTTTGAGTATTTTAAAGGTGGTGTCAAAAGACAAAAAAGACTCCATTATGACCTATTAATCTAAGGGAAAGAAATTAATATTTAGTAGATGCCTGCTTGGTACTTTGTTATTTCACATACATGTTTACATGTACCAGTGAGAATTCTTATTCCTATTTCCCAGAAGTTGAGTGATTTGCCCGAAGTTATGCAGTGAGGCTCAGAAGTTAAATCCAGATCATTTTTACTCTCTTGCTTGCTTTTTCCCACCTGCCATACGGTCTCCCCAAAAGAAAAACCATATAACTTAGTTTTGATCTGCACCAGAAATGATATGGGTCACACTGGACCCTTTGTGGTATTTCTGTATCACAGTAAACCCTTTCCAGTCTGGGCTTGCTCCAGGGAAGGGATAGCATCATGCTTTTTGTAAGGACAGATTCCTAAAGAGCTTGGCACTTTGACTTCGATTCTTCACAGAGCACAATGTGATAATTTTACTAAACTGTTACTTAATACCAAAATAATCAGAGATGCCACTTTGCTGTAAGTTAATACTGTGGATGTCTAGCATCATCTTTGTTGAAGATAGTACTATAGATATTAAGTAGAACACAACTGTCAGTTATCTTTATGAGACCTGGAGGAGCCTAGAAAAGCATTTGACTAAAATAGTCAACAAACAGCCAAGTACAAAAAATAATTGCTCAGCTGCTTATGTAGCAAATTAATAGAAAGGTATTAAGGAAAGCAGTGTTTAAATGAAGCAATGGAAAAATGGATAAGAATATGAATAGATTATAATAGTCTTCTTCTATTAGTAAGAAATTTCTTTTTTTTTTTTTTTTTTTTTGGCAGTCTGATAAGAGGTCATGATGGTGATGGTGGTGATGGTGGTGGTGATAGTGGTGGTGGTGGTGGTCGTGGTAGTTTTTTCTTTTATTAGGTTTGTGTTACTGTTCTGTAGGCTTTTTTTGATTTTGTAAAATTCTTTCTCTGTGGAGGTGGTTTCCTTCTCTCTCTTGTTGATTCCTTATGCCTCAAGAGAGTATGATATGCCTTAGTTAACAGAACGATTATACTGAGAATGGTACTGTCATGACTTTTCTGATTTATCTCCTGTCCCATTAATAACTTGGTATATGAATAAAGATAATGTTACTATTTTAACCATAAGCAGACAGCAATTCATGAAAAGGTAAGTGTTGCAAAGAGTTGTATCATGGGTTATATGCTGTTTCTTCTGCTCCTGCAGTAGTTCATATTTTATTTACATTTATAAATGATAAAAGCAAACATTTCTGGTATTTGAGGGTGGATGAGAGAGGAAGTTTCTTGATGGCTGTATAGTATCTGAGGATACCCTGTTGCTATGTCAGTAGAACATTGAACAATGTAGACTTTTAGAACCAGGAGGGAATTTTTATTTTGTTTTGTTTTTCCTTGGACCTCAAGTGAAGTGAAATACAACCTTTTTTTAAAAAAAGAGAAGCAAATAATCTAAAAATTCTTAATGTTTACATGTAAATCTAGTATCAGCTTAAAGACACCATTTATCCTTCTTGAAGTCAACAGTTCTGAACCTTGAGTCTGTTCTTCAGCCACATTGGCTGTTTCTCTTCTAGATGTGAAAGCTCTCAACTGTTAGTAGATGCAAGTGTGTGGGGTAGAAAGATAGAGATGGAGTATTTGCCTAAATAAGTCAGAGGAATCTAAAGGAAAGTGATCATCAGCCAAGGACTTCAATTAGAAACAATAGCTTAGGCCTGGCGCGGTGGCTCACGCCTGTAATCCTAGCTCTCTGGGAGGCCGAGGCGGG